GATGCTGAGAACAATCGGTTGTCATAGATGCATCAGCCGTGGTAACCAATGCCGTAGATGCGAGAAGGTGTAGATGTGTCTGCCACTTCTGAACCTCGTCGTGAAGACTGCATCATATGCCGGCATGCGGCAGGAGAGGTACCGACTCGCCTCGACAGATGCACTCACCCCCGGAACGCCTCTCTGCAGCTGCGTCGTCGGCGCCAGGGAGCCAGCGGAATCCCAGAAGCCAGCCGGGTCCAGCGCGCCCCGCTCGCTCTCGAGAGGCGCGCCGCCCGCGGCTCTGGCGGCCGGGGCGACAGATGAGGCCGCCCCGGCCGCGGCCGCAACGGCGGCCGCGGGGACCGCGGCGATGGCGCCAGCCGCAGCGGCGGCCACCGCAGCAGCAGCCGCGGCGGCTGCGTGCCGCCGCGGAGAGGGCAACAGCCGCGGCCACCGCGCCGGCGGCGCCAGCAGCCGAGCCCGCAGCCGCCGCGCGGGCGGCCGCAGCGGCGGGCGAGACGGCGGCGGCGGCCGCCGCAGGACCGCCAGCGGCCAGGTGCGCGCCGGCCGCGCCGGCGGCCGCTCGAGCGGCCGCCGCGGGGGGCGAGGGGCCGCTAACAGCGAGGGGGCGCGCGGCCGCCGGACGAGCGGCCACGGCGCAGGCCGAGGCGGCCGCCAGCGGCTGGCGGGGTAACCCCGCAGCCAAGCCAGGGGGGGACCGCCGCCAGCGGCAGCCAGGGCGGCGGCGAGCCGCGCGGCTGCCACCCGGCGCTGAGCGCGGCGCCACGCCGTCCGCGGCACGCCAGGAGACGGGGACATGGCACCCGGGGAGGGGCGCCGGGAAGAGGAGGCCCCTCCCAGCGCCCCTCAGGCCGGCCGCAGCCAAGGGGGAGACTCTGGCCCCCAAGCCGCGCTGGCCAACCTTGAGCCAGGGGGGGGCTTGAGCCAGAGGCTTGGCTACGGACAAGAAGACACACACACACGCACACACACACACACAAACACACACACACACACACACTTTTACGTCGGCGGCGCAAAGTAACCTCAGGCGCGGTCGGCAGATGGAGGTGCAAGCTGCGAACGAACTCAACCGAACGCGCCGAGAAAAAACAGTCCACCTACGGCCATGCACATTGGCGGTGGTGGTAAAAAGATGAGGCACATAAATCCAAAGTGCAGCGGCCAAGCATCCTGCGGAGCGTAGCTCGACGCCAGGAGTTGAAGCGCAGGCAACAGACTGGTGCGAATTAGCCACTTGAAAGACAAGCACTGTAGAGCTGCCAGACCAGCCAGCAAGCGGCGGCGCGAGACAGACACAGGCGAGACAAAAGCCGCCACAAGGCATGCAGCGAAAATGACAGAACGCCGTGTAGATGCAAATAGCGCGAAGAAAAACGCGCGTTAGAAACAGAAAGAGGCAAGCTGACCGCAGGCGACCGCGACGGCCACGCTGCACGCGGTGGCGCACATGGGTGGTGGACAACACAAAAACCACGAGTGGCGGACGGCGCGTGCGTGGCCAACATGCAATGTGGGCGCCACTGTGGAAGGCAAAACCACCACAGCAAACGTAGCGTCAACCATGGATGGGAGCCAAAACAAAAACCACCTGGACGATATAGTAACTGTACGGGTCACCTCAAGGTCGCACAACCCGACCAAAGGCAATCAAGTCAAGAAAAAATAACCCACACACACACACACACCCACACACGCATCACACACTGACGGTCGTACCGCTATCCACATGACGTTCGGCTTGACAAGAGCAAAGAGTTGTGGAGTGGTTGACTCCCTGTTTCCAATGGAAGCCAGCACCAAGGGTCGCATCGCTGGAACAAATCAACCTGCAAACATGAGCGAGGTATTAAGAAAAGCAGGCACCGACCCGGCTCCTCGAAAGACAACGACGAGGCGTTGTGCTGATGGATCTGGTGAATGGCGTGCTTGAGGCACTCCCACCTCAGTAGAGAGAGGGTGGAGTCAGAAAAGGAGGTGGTGAGCCGAGGACCGCAGTGCAAGCACTGTATGAACTGCAAGCACGCACTGCCTGACATTGTGTTTGAAAGGCCGCAGGATGGGCCCGGAGGCAACGAGCCCACAAAACAAGGGCGCAGGATCCAAGGTCAGACAGAACGCCCAGCAACGATCTGGTGCAGAAAACCCCCGCCTGAAGTTTGATGTGCCGCGACCTCCTGGGCAGCCCAGAGCTCAAATCATACGTCCAGAACTTCCTACTCCTGCTCTTGCGCAGCCCAGACCTCAAAGGAACAGCCGATTTCGCGCAGATATTGGCAGCAAGCGTGCGCTGGGCGGTCTCCCTGCCATCTTCCCACACCCCTTCCCTTCCCTCTTCCCCTCCCCCCTCATCAGAGTGAGGGGCCCGAACAGTCACTCACTGTCCCCGGGCGCGTAGCTGAAGTGAGGTTCTGTGTTGCGGATCGTTGAAGTCAAAAGAACAATTATTGTTGATCCTCCCCCTTCGGTAAGCATTGTACTTATCACTTGAAACTAGGTGGTTGCCCACCGGTTCACAACAACAAGTAACTAACAAACAAACAACAATCACAGCAACACCAACAAAAACAACACAAACTACTACTACTAGTACTACAGCAGCAACAACAACAACAACAGCAGCAGCAACAACAACAACAACAATAACAACATGAGCAACATCAACAACAACAGCAACACCAATCAGTTTAAGACTGTTCGCTCTTATTTGCTCGCGCGCCATTCATCACATAGATCCCAAACCGTCGATACCCGCCCTCTTCGTATTCGACCGTACCCCCCCTTGGGGGTATACCTTTCTTACCTGCAACGTGTATTTCGTGCAGCCCATGTACGGCAGGGGAAGAGAGGACGGATGGAAGGAAGGGACAAGGGGGAGGGAGGAGGATGGAGCACGAGAGAGTGGCAGGAGGGGGGCTAGGAGCAGAAAACACCTGCCTCCTGCATGTATCGCGATGAAGTCGCGAGCGACAGCTCGATTCCCAAACCAATCGCGAGGAAATCCACAGCGAGAGCGTGACTCATGAGGGTCGAGCGCGCGGCGTCTGAATAAATTGCGAGGAAAACCACACGAGAGCGCGATTCCTGAATAGATTGTTAGGACGTCCCGCGCGAGAGCGCGATTTGGGAATCCCCCGACCCTGCGTCGGCGTGTGGGAGAAGCTTTTCGCTCTGCCCCCTGTGAGGCTTTCCTGTCTGCCCCCTCTTCGTCGTCGTCGTCGCTCCTTCCCCTTTCCCAGGCCTCCCCCTCAAGTGGCGAAGCAAAAGGGAATTGAGCAATGTCGTAATCACAAAATTGAGCCACGTCGTCATTGAATCGAAGCCTCCCTTTCATATCTACCCCGCCGGGGGTGGGGGGGTCCGGGGGGGTGGGCCCGGGGGGGCCGGGGAAGTCCCTGGGGGGGTCCCGGGTCAGATACGACGCCCACCCCCCGGGAATCCAGCGGCCCAACAAAGCCCCAGGACGAGCCAAGAATGTCCCAAGAGACCCTCACGAGACCACGTCTTTTCTCCGTCAACATCTGCGGGCACCACTACCACCCCCGAGTCCCCCCCCCCTCACAACTAACCTCCCTCCGTTCCCCCCCCCTCCCGTGAACCTCTGCCTCCACCTCCTCCTCCCCGTCCTCCTCACCCTCCTCCTCATCATGCGGTTCCTCCACCTGCACGTCCTACTTCTCCTCCTATCTCGTCGTGGTCAGCGTCCTCATCTTCAGGGTCGGCGGCACTGGCATGAAGGCCTTAGCAATGACTGGTGAAGAAATAAATAATTAGCGGGAGCCGTTGTTGTTGGAAACGGGGGGCCAACAACACAATTCTGATACTCATAACTTCCCTACTAAAAAACAGGTTGCGAAGCCCGGGAAGGGCATTGCAATTGAAAACAAAGAATGTGTTCTGGAAGGAAACAAGAATTATGCTTTAGAATGAAAATTGAAACAACAAAAACAACAACAAAGACAACGAAACCAACAACAACAACAACAACAACAACAACAACAACAACAACAACATCAACAACAACAACAACAACAACAACAACAACAACAACAACAACAGCAACAGCAACAGCAACACCAACAATTACAACAAGAACAACAACAACAACAAAACAACAAAAACAACAACAACCACCACCAACAACACCACCACCAACACCACCACCAACAACAGCAACAACAATCATTTTAGGACTGTTCGCTCTTATCTGCCCGAGTGTCATTCAGCGTGCATTTCCAGAACCCTCGATACCCGCACTCTTTCTCTTCGATCATACCTTTCTCCGGATGGGAAAACGCAGATTTGCTGCAGTCAAAAAACCATGCCTTTCAAGCAACGCAGGCTTCTTTATGTCCTCAAACATGCAATTTCCCGGTGGGACAATCACGAATTCAAACGCTCCGTCGTGAAACCTCATCCGCTCAGAGGCGCCGCCTCCGTTAGGTGAGGCGCGCGCGGGGAATCGGATTCCAAGGCCGCCCGTGCCCTGGCGCCCCCAAGACAGCCCAAAGGAAGTCCGGGCAGAGCTCGAGGTTCTATATAGGTTGGGAGGCCGGGTGTCGAGGATCGAGGCAGCAGGGGCAACTGAAGAAAAATGTGTAAAGAGAAGGAGAGGAGAGGTCGGACAAATAACTGGAGAATTTGCGCGCGTGCTCGGCGGTCAGTCGCGCGCTTTGGCTCGGGCCCTTCCGCGCTGCGCCAGCGGATCGGTGCGCTGCTTCAAATGGGATTCCCTGCTGGGCGCTGCTGGCGCAATGCTCAACGGGCCACTTCCTGCAGCGTGGCGAAGCAGGAAGCGGGGGAGGAGAGGGGAGGGGGGGAGCGGAGGGGAGAAGGAGGACAGCGACGTGGAGGGCGCGATGGGGGGCGCAGGAAAGAGCAGGCGCGCCACGCCGTCCCAAGCTGGAGCCATCCGACAGCTGGCACCAAGGCTCAGCCTCTTTCTTGCCAGCACCCCAGGCCGACGCCACTGCAGACTCACGCACTGGCACGGCTGTCTAGACCGCCATTGCCTGCTCCATCTTAGGAGCCTTGCTAATGGGGGCCACCCTTGCCTCGATCGCATTGTGGCCGTGCTCAAAGCCCCCCTTGATTGCCTTCGCGATGGAAGTGAAAGTTGCGAAGACGCACGAAATGACCTTCACTATGAGGTCCGCAATCTTGACATTGTCCGCGCACATCATCACTTCGTGAAAGATCTCCGAAGGGTTGTCAATTTCTTCCTTCGCGATCTTCCCCGAAACTTGCTTGAACGCTTTCGCGGCGATGTCGATGGCCGTCTGCGCATGCCCCATTAGCTTTTCGATGGCACGCCGGTGGCTGGCGGGCAATTTCCCCGTATCGAACTTTGGCAGATCAATCTCCACATTCCCTTTCTTCAGCTTGTCCCAGCCAGCGCCCACCTTCGCCGCGGGCGAGCCACCCCCTACGCAGCAGAGGAAGGGCTTCTCCCCCATCATCGCGCCCTGCCCGTTGCACACAGCCGAGGCGATGGCATCCTGCAGGCCAGAGCCGCCCTCTGCGCCGGGAATCGCCTTCGCATCCGCGAAGATGCTGTTGCTCGCGCCCACGAGCGCGTCGAAGAGGCCCTTCACGCCCGAGAACACGGCATCGACCTCTTTGACCACGGTCTCCTGCACGGACATGCGAAGCGACTCCATCCGCCTCCCGCTTGCTGAATGAAGGATATCCTCTCCCCTTGGTCGTAGGCATACGCGCGAAGACCTCGTCCTGGATGGCCTTCAGCGCTCCCCGGAAGCCCGAGAGGACGCCCATCAGTGGCTGCGACGCGTTGGGGATCATCGTCTGGACAAACTTCATGATGTTGTCCTTGGCCATCTGGATGTGGGCGGGCTTGCACGGCCTTGCCCAGCTGGGCGGCTTCGGAGAGGCCACTGCAATTCTGCTTGGCCCCCCCCCAGCAGCTTCGATAAGGACAACTGCTTGCACCCGGCGGTGAAGTTCTCGACGATAGCAGGAACCTCGGCGAACCCGTCGCAAGTCAAGTCCTTGATCTCCGTCAGCATGCTCTTGACCCACTCCCATGCTTTCTCGGCCTTCGAGCGCAGCTCGACGCTGAGCTTGTCGCAATTAAAGGTGGGCCAGACGATCTTCAACTTGCCCTCCTCGATCATTCCCAGGTCGATCTGCGGCACGCACGCGGTAACGTCGGGCAGCATCTCCCCGCAGACCCTGACGAAGAGCGAAACGAAAGCCTTGAGCTCGCCAATGGCGCCCTGCGGCTCGCCCCCCGCAGGACCGAAGTCGACGTTCTGGGTCCTGACCTTGCGCGGGAAACCTTCGATCGACTTCACGATGCCATTGTTGACTTGGGTGGTTGTGTCCAGAGCCTCCTCCCCAAGCGCGAACAGAGTGTCGGCTGAGGGCAGGCCGCATTTCTTCATGTCGAGATCTGGTAGCTCGTCGAGATCCTGCTTCTCCACGGCGCCCTCCTGTGCGTCGTCGTGGGGGCCGCCTGGGCCCTCTTCGGCCTCCCCATCCGCCTCCTCACTCTCCTTCTCGGGCGCCTCCTCGGCCGCCCGCTCCGCGCCCTCTGCCACCGCTTCCGCCTGCCCCTCGGCCTTCGGCTGCACTTGCTCCTCCTCGGCCATCGGCTCGGCTCGGCGGGGCGCTCGGCGGGGCAGCCCTATTACGCGAGACGGGAGGGGGAGCGCAGCGGCAGGGTCTGGAAATCAAACAGTGCCTTGACCCAAAATGGCTACGGAATTCGATCATACCACTTTTGGTGGGCATATATTTCTTTGTGAGTTCTGCGCGATTACCCCGGAATTTTCCAGCGAGAGAGCGATGCTTAAGTAAATTTGACGGAGTCCCCAAAGAACGCGCGATTTCTGAATGGCAAGAGCGCGGCGCCTGAATGAATTGCGAAGAAGTCTCAGGCGGGAGCGCGATTCTTGAGCAAATCGCGAGGAAGTCTCAAGCGGCAGCGGGGGACCGGAAGAAATCTCGAGGAGATCTCAAGCGGGAGCCATTGTCGCAAACAGGGGGCCAGGGGCACACCTTGAGAAGAAAAAGACTTTCCCTGATAGAAACGGGCGCAAGCGCCGGGAGGAGCACTTCAATTGAAAAATGCACCAGAGGGGGGATCAACAATACGTATTCTTCAGCAGTGAGACTTCAACAACAACACCAACAACAACAAACAGTTTAAGACTGCTCGCTCCTATCTGCTCAAGTGTCCTTCAACGCATTTTTCCCGAACCCTCGATACCGCCCTCTTCGTCTTCGACCGTACCCCCTTTGGGGGGGATATGTTTCTTCCCTGCTGGCCGGGCCCCGGCAAGCGGAGGGGCGGCCGCGGACCGTCGGCCTGGCCAGCGGCAACGCCAAGAGGGACGGACAGGGGACCGACGACGACGACGACGACGACGACAACGACGATAACGACAACAAGCGAAAGCGAGAGCAAGAGCGAGAACGAGAGCAGGGGGCCACGAAGGGCGACAGCGGGGCCACGAAGGGCGTGCGTATGGGGCCACGAAGGGCGCGAACGAGCGGAGGCCACGAAGAGCAGATAATGCGGGGCCACAGAAGGAAACGACAGGGCCACTGAGGATAGCAACGGGGCCACGTAGGGCACCGACGAGGCCACAAAGGGCGACAGCGGGGCCACGAAGGGCATGCATATGGGGCCACGACGTGCGCGAACGAGCGGGGGCCACGAAGGGCATACGCATATTGAGCCGCAGGGGGCAAGGACGGGGCCAATGAGGGCAGCAACGGGGCCACGAATGGCAGCGAGGGGGCCACGAAGGGCGACAGCGGGGCCACGAAGCGCATGCATATGGGGCCACGACGGGCGCGAACAAGCGGGGGCCACGAAGGGCATACATATATGGGCCCACGAAGGGCAACGACGACGCCACAAAAAGCTGCAACGGGGACACGAAGGGCAGCGAGGGGACCGCGTAGGGCAGCGACGGGGCCACGATGGGCAGCGAGGAGAACACGAAGAGCTGCAACGGGGCCACGAAGGGCAGCGAAGGGGCCACGAAGGACTGCAACGGGGCCACAAATGGCAGCGAGGTGGCCACGAAGGGCAGCAACGGGGCCACGAAGGGCACCGACGGGGCCACGAAAGGCTGCAACGGGCCACGATGGGCAGCGAGGGGGTCACGATGTGCTGCGAGGTGGCCACGAAGGGCAGCGAGAGGAACACGAAGAGCTGCAACGGGGCCACGAAGGGCAGCGAGAGGGCCACGGAAGGCTACAACGGAGCCACGGAGGGCTGCAACGGGGCCACGAAGGGCAGCGAGGGGGGCGCGAAGGGCAGCGAAGGGGCCACGAAGGGCAGCGAGGGGGCCACGAAGGGCTGCAACGGAGCCACGAAGGGCTGCAACGGAGCCACGAAGGGCAGCGAGATCCCGATTCCTAAATAAGCTGCGCGGGAGTCCTAAGCGTGAGCGCGACTCCTGGGTGCCTACGCGTCGGGAGCGCAGCGCTCGAGTAAATTGCGGAGAATTCTAACGCAAGAGCGCGCGCGGTCCTTTAGTAAATCGCAAGCAAATCTCCAGCGAAAGCGCGACTCCAGAGCGCCGAGACAGCGATCCGTAAAATAAGTGTAAGGAAGTCCCAAGCCAGAGAGCGATTCCTGAGTCAAATGCAAGGAAGTCTCAGGCAGGAGCGGGGATTCTGGCTCAATTGTCTGGAAGTGTTAAGCGGGAACCGTCGTTGTTGTTGTTGTTGTTGTTGTTGTTGTTGCTGTTGTTGTTGTTGTAATTCGGGGGCCAACATCCCAATTCGAGACCCGTGACCTTCCCTAGAAAAAAACGGGTGCGAGCCCCGGAGGAAGCACTTCAACTTAGCAAACACAATGGTCACCGGAGGGGGATCAACAATAATTGTTCAGTAGTGAGAGTTCAACACCAGCGACCACAACAACAGCAACAACAATAACAACAACCATAATCATGTTAAAACTGTTCGCTCTTACCTGCACGCGTGTCCTTCCTCACGTATATCCCAACCCTCGATACCCGCCCTCTTCGTCTTCAACCGTACCCCCAGTAGGGGTGTATAGTTTTTACATGCGATTTCAATGTCTTGCAGCCCCTAAGGCAGGGAGCAGGACGGAGCACGAGAGAGAGTAGCAGGAGGGGGGCTAGGAGCAGAAAACACCTGGCAGAACCAGGCGGGCTGATCGGGCAGGTAAACCCTCACCGGCGGGTCAGGAGCGCGCCTCGTCAAGGCGCAGGAGAGCCACCCCGAAGATGAGCTCATGAAGGAGTGGGTGGACAGGATGAAGAAGACGTTCGACGATGACTACGAGGGTTGGCCACACATCGGGTGCAAGTCGAAGTTCCTCCCGTACAAGGAGTGGGCTGTCGATGCTGGTGGAGCTCAAGGTGGGAAACGGATGGGAAGCGCTCACAGCGGAAAGGCTGCCGCAGCAGCTAGACGACGCCATCAAGGAGTGCCATTACCCTTTCTTCGACGCCGCCCAGAAGATGAGCCCAGAGGAGCTCTTCGAGCTGATCCCCGTGTCCTTCCCGATGACACACAAGGTCAGAGGATGCGCTCTAATCGCAAGGTACCTTGTGGACGCGTGGGAACGGGCAGGGAGGAAGGCCTTTACTGTACAGAGCTGGTGTGAGCTGGCGCTGAAGATATCAAAGAACGACGAAGAAAACCTTCACAAAGTCATGAAGGTCGCCTTGAAAGAGATGAGTAACGAGGACAATCTCGACCCAGAGAAAGTGAAGAGGCTCAAAGAGCGCAAGAAGCTACGACACAGCACGCAGACCCTGCTGGATGGCACCGAAGTCTTCGAGGCAAACTTCGGCTATCCCAAGTCGGAGGAGACGACCACGGCCAGCTCCTCCAACGGCCACTAGTGAGTGCACCCACTGGAGCCCACTGGAGAGCCAAGAGAGCAGTAGCGAGGTTTGCTCGGAGTGCTACTTCGGGCAAGCTGGTCGAGCCCACAGGCAGCCAAGAGATGCATTAGCGAGGTATTTTCGGAGTGTTACTCTAAGCAAACAGGATGGGCATCACCGAGTGCTCGCAGTGGCTTCGCAATGAGAAATATCTTTCTGGAGTGCCGACAGGTACATTACTGCAGGGTGTGGAAGGAGAGAAAAGTGATCATCACGACGTCCCTCAGAGCGTTTCCTCGGTGGCCCCACCTGCCACACACCGTGACTACCAGTATGCTCAACCCCACATACATTTCGAGGGGGAACAGTGGGATACTACAACAGGGGATCAGAGTACAGATGCGACAATGCATGGGGCAATTCTCGGCCAGATCGTCAAGTGAGCTGAGCGGAAGAGGGGATGATATAATCAAAACAGTAGGGTAAGCAGGCCCCTCAGCAACAGTTTGGGGATACGGACCTCCCGACCCTCCCCTCCCCTCCTTTTGGAGTTGTCGTGTCGTCGTCTCCCCCCCCCACTGCTTGGGAGCACTGCTAAGCCCGCGCGTCCTCTCCCCCAGGGCACGCGGAAGGCCAGCAGCTGCTCCCCGCGCACTGGCCCGCAGGGACTCGTGATCGTAAGGTAGCGAACCTCTCTTACGGGGCCACCTCGGAGCTCAGTCCTTGAGCAACGGCGTATGCCCCCTGCCGGCCCGAGTGAGAAGGCAGGACCGTTGCACAACCAATCGCAGGGGATTTTGGCAGAAGCGCGCAAGGCACCAGCGTAGGTGTTTTGACGTTGAACCCCATTATGCGTATGTCCTGTCCTGTCCTCCTCCTCCTCCTCCTCCTCGTCCTCCACCTCCTCCTCCTCCTCTTCCTCCTCCTCCCCCTCCTCCTCCTCCTCCCCTCCTCCTCCTCCTCCTCCTCCTCCTCCTCCTCCTCCTCCTCCTCCTTCTCCTCCTCGTCTTCCTCCTGCTGCTTCCCCTTTTATTTTACTTGAAAAACGAAACATTTAAATATGTACCACGGGACGGCGCTCATGAGGACACTCTGTCCCGCCAGCGCGGCCGCACCACTCTCGCGGGACGGGTGCTTCTGAGGACGCCCTGTCCCTGCCAGAGTGACCAAAACGGAAGCACCAGGAAGACAAGGAGGCGGAGCAGCAGGAGGAGAAGGGGGAGGAGGAGAAAGACGAGGCCTAGGGGGAAGCAATGGTGAGCCCAAAGCGCAGAGACGACAAAGCGGGAGGACAGGACACGAGAAGGGAGGCGACAGAGCGACAAGACAAGACGACACGAGGCAAAACGACAAGAGAAGAGCGGGTCCGCGGCCCAACCTCACGGTGCAATGCCGATCCCATCCAAGAGGGAGATGAAAGCCAAAATCGGCAGGCAGACTGATACGACCACTGGAATATGCCAACTCCAGTCACCCCAGATACACAAAGTCGATGAAGAAGTAGAAGAAGAACACCTGGAAGCTAGAGAGGAGCACGACGACGGCGGACTCGAGCCCCGCAGGCAGGACGGCGAGGCCTCCCTGAGGAGACGCCGGGCGAGCGGCGACAGGGTCCAAACCATGCAATCGTCTCGAGGCCCGGGGAGGAGAAAGAGAACAGGAAGAAGACGTAGAAGAGAATGCCAGCCAGCCAGCCCGCACCTCTTGGATGCGCGTGCCTACCTCCACGCCGCCTGGCTGGCGTCGAGCAGCATCAGCACTTGAGCGCATGCCGC